TTTAAAAATTAAATATGAGAACCAACTCAAAAGAAAACTAAACACCTATGGTAGTAATACTTTAGTATAGGTTTGTGGAATTAGTTATAACTATTAGTTAAGATTTAGTTATAACATATATATATATATATGTTAATAGTAATAATAATAGTATGTTCATATTTAAATAATAATATAATAAATAATAAACTTTTATTAATGTGATTTTGCATTAATAGGTAACACAATTTCTAATGTTAATATATTTACATTAATTAATTTTATTAACATAATAACAAAGTTAGTTGGAAATATAATGATTAATATTAATAAATATATTTAATATTATTACTTTTATTTGTGAATTTGTATAGGTAATATGATATACTTTTATTAATGTGATTTTGCATTAGTAACACAATTTTTAATGTTATGCAGTAAATTTCTGGGTTTCTTTTTGGGACGGTTACTATCACTTGTTGTTGGTCTACCTAAAGTAAAAAATGCTATTGTTAAAATTGTAATTGTTATATTTGTATCGTGTATCTTAATTTTACCTGCAAGCAAACGTTTACTTCCTCTAGTAATTCCTGGTCTTCTCCTAGCTATTGTAGTTGGTTGTACTTTTATTGATGCTCCGTCTCTATGTCTAAGAGATAACGAGGATGTACCTGCTGTTGCTAAAAAAGTATTAAACTGGCCTTCTGTGTGTATTTTATCTAATCTTTTTTTGAATTTTAACAAATTATCATAAGTTGATTCACCATACTTTATTATATTATTTGACATTTTCTGAGTAATATCATCTAATATGGATAAACAATCTTGTTTTTCTAAATTGGGATTGTGTTCTTTTACAATCTGCATACTTTCTGTTGAACTTTTTTTATTTGAATCTTGATGAATGTCATGAGATATAGGTGACTGTGTATGAACTACGACTTCTGCAGGTAATAAGCCCTCGTAAAATGTCTTATTTGGTACTTTTTCACCTAATGCCAGTTTTGCTATTAAGTATTTGTCTTCTATGGTTACTGGAGGAAAGTTAACTCCAATTTTATTAAAATATTTGTAAACTATACCTTGATGTTTACAAAATTTCCCATGTATTCCAACTTTACATGAACAAATACCAATAGTAGGTTCAACGCAATACATGAGCTGTTTGTTTTCTTCACTCGGTACATAATACTCTTCATTTTCAACATATATTTTGTCTTTTGAAGCATAGTCACAAAGTTTAATAATTTTTTCAAAATATTTACGTGCTGTGGGGTTTCTATCATTTGAAAATTCTTGAAACTTCCTTCTATAATAATCTTCTAGTTTGGTGCAGCAAAAATCAACAATTGAAACAACATTATAAGCCTTAACTCTACACAGCACATTTTCTTTAAATATTCTTACAGAAACTTCTCTAAAATTGTTAGTGTGATGGCCTCTATTTGTGTGATCTCTCCAGGCTAAACACCAGCGTTCTTTATAAGTCCAATGTTCTACAGTAACATATCTGCACCATTTACTATACATACTTCCAATTTCTAAAGTAACTTCAAATGCTGTATAAGCTTCTTCAACTGTTTCAGCATACAGCATTTTTCTAAATGATTGCATCATAGGTTGACGGTCTTCTTTGTTTATATTATTTTTACCATCCCAAAGCCACCTCCAAACAGCTTGTAAAACATGAAATATGCAAAGAAGAGATTTTGAGTTTGGCCAAACTGCTTTCAAAGCATTAATTTCTGCATCTGAATTGTCTGTTAAAAATATGGTAGGAAAACCTTTCCCATCAAAGGCATTCTGTACATTATTTTTAATCAATAGAAATCCAGCTTTATATGATTCTTCACTTTGACCTTTTGTTATAAGAACACCCAATGGTGCAGCACCAGCTGCACACGGTGTTAATAAAAAAGTGATACAATTGTTTTCTGGGTCACAAGAACTAGTAGAATCAACAAAAACTATATCTTTAGCAAGTGGTAAATCATGGGCTCTTGACATAATTGGTGTAAGTATAAGTACTGAAAAAGGATTATCTTGAATAAAAATAGATACTCCATTTTCATTATATGTTTCTTTCTTTTCTTTAAGTTTCTAATACATTAAAATATTAAAAATTAATTTAATAAATAAAAAAGTACATTTTAATTTATATAAATTACATGCATTGAATTGTGATGATTATTTAACATTTTAAAAATACTCTATTTTTAGTAGATTAATGGTAACAACTAATAACATACCATGATTACACCTTTACCAGTACGAGGGCCTAAATGTGTAGATCTCCATTTTTCATGCCAGTTTTGTACAGTTCTATAAGTAGGATTTAGTCTAGCATTAGCAAAATCTTCAACTGAACAATTCATCATAGTCATCACACTTTCATGATAACTGTAAATTATGAAATAATACCGAGTTTTAATTCATATTGAAATATAAAATTAATATAATAAAACATCTGGTCATATTTAAATAAGACTATAATTATAATTATAAGTACTTTTAATATTTTCACATTTATATACATATAAAACAGATAAGTATATGAATTATTTATGTTATTTTATTATTGTTCTCAATTTAATTAAGAAGTAAAATCATTTGTATGTATGATTCTTACCGAATGGCTTCTGTCATTGTCATTCCATCATTCATATATTCCTCAAAAGTTTGTCTTAAATCATCTGTTGCTTTCAAATATCTAAGGGCTTCTGCTGTGTTAATGCTATGGTTGTGTTCATTCCAAATTGTAATAACACCAAACAATTTATTCTGTAAATTATGTAACCATAGGCACATGGAACACAATTAACATATATTAACATATTAATAAAAAAAAAACCCTAACAACAAATTATATTATAAAGTGTATCCTAATTCTTTTTAGTTCGAAAGAATTAGTCTTTTAACTACAAGAACTAAAATATTCTCTTTAATATGGTGAAATATGAAATTATACACATTTTTGTAACTAAAAATTAAAAAAAAATTATAAAAAATAGGTCAAAAAGAAGAATATCTACTAAAAAAGAAGCTCAAAAATGTTATAAAGCTAAAGTTGCAACGTTGCAAGTATAAATAATTATACATAAAAATAGAACTATAATTTAGTACTTAATATGTCTGCATTTATTACAGACCTTAAAACAACTCATGATTAATA